GTCGGACACGACTAAACGAACAAACGAATGAACAAAATGAAGCTATAAATACGTTGTAGAGCATGTTTTGAACTAAGATATGCCATCCAACTGAGATAATTGGATTGAAGCACAGATGACAGACAGATGTTGTAACAATACAAATACAGGAACAGGTGATACCTTTAATCAACCATTAAGAATAAAAAACAACTAAAAAACCCAGAAAAACAAACAAACAAAAAACAAACAGCAAGCTTTCTATGATAAATCATCTTCAAGGCTGTGCATCAAATTCTCGTGGGTAGTTTCAACTTATTTGCCATTATTCATGTCCCAAATTCACATGGCTGATGATGTTGAAGCCAGGTTAGCTTCTTAGATGGACACAGTGCAGTATGCAAATTGTTTTCAAGTTCTGCCTCAGCTAGAGTTTGGAATTTATGGGCCATCTCTTAAAACAGAGGGCAGCCACAGGCAATCTGCCCCCTCCCTTTTCTGCCTTTTTGAAATTCAAAGAATTTCTTTTTGGCTAGTGGAGGGAAGAGTGCCCAGGAGCAAGGCTGCTTCTAACAGAGTTGGGATTAGGAATTTAGTTAAACCACCAGGAATAGTCAATTTAAACCAAACTAAAGCCAAATAAATAGCTGTAACAGTCACTGCTTTCTCTCTGTAAGGCTGCTTCAAGGGAACCTCCCAGCTCCCTTGAGTAATCCTAGCCAGTCAGAGTATACCTTCCTTGTGGAATGATAATACTAAGTAGCCAATCAGACTTGGCTATCTGCTAATAGTGCCAAGGGCAAATTAATCTAAATAAGAAACTCCATACCAAGACCTCAGAAGACAGACAGTACAGTGTATTGAAATATTATGCATAACTTATGAGCAATTCTGTATCTTCTTTACTGTTAACTGAAGAAGAGGAACACCCACCTATTCAACAGAAGCACTTCTTGATGATATAACTATTTTCAATAATAGAAAAGCAGGCACTCATCACAATATTCGCATAGCTGCCTCTTGGATAGAAATGAAATAAATAAATAAAAAAAATAAATATTCGCATAGCTGCCTCTCCAAGGATGCCCCAAATTGCAGGCAACTGAGTTGACTAATACCAATGAATCAGTTCTATTTGTTGTCATCCATACCAGGTAGAAGTTGTAGGCAGTAGAAAAGTTTTAAAAAATTAATGTAAGATGTATGGACTTGGGTCTTCAGGATGTGAACAAGGGTATTTATGAGAGGATCTCTTGGAAGTCATTGGCTGAAATCCTGTTGCTTAATTGTGCATGCAGAAGGCTAATGACATAACCTGTCACTTCTAGTTAGCAATTAATAAGTTGCTGTGGGGATTCTCGATGTAAGGAGACTTTCAGTATATGCATGTCTACTGGCTTGGCATGTGCTTACAAATTCCGGTAAGGACTGTAACTGAACGTTACTATGTTTTCCACCTACACACATAATTAAACAAAATAATTTCAGTCATTAATACCACGCCTTGCCATACACATGAACAACAGGAGGAAGTCTTTGTAAAGCTAAAGAGTTGCAGCCAAGACCACGACTTTAAAATACTTTGCATCACAGCTCTTCATTCCTGGTGAGGGAAATCCTCTCATATACCCTTCTAAGGACTGCAGCTGAACCAAAAGGAAGCAAAAAAGCCTAAGAAGTCTGGCAGATTATTTACTACATTTCTGCCCTGCCTTTCGACCACAGAGTAGCACTCAAAGTAGCTTACAAACTTTATAAAACAGGAAAATAGCAGATTCAATGACAACCACCACCACAAAAATAACAAAACACATACACATATTAAAACCAGGCCAATGACATCATCTCTGCTAACCAAAACAACTTGGCACTTTAACCCTGCAAATTGAGGCTCTACTATAACACTGCCTGCACTTCATTTTTGGCAGTGTACATGGGACCCCCTAACTCCCTAAAGGAAGACACAGGCTTGAGTTTACAAGAACTGAGGAAAACAGCTGAGGACAGGACATTTTGGAGAGCACTCAATTCATAGGGTTGCCATGAGTTGGAGGTGATTTGACAGCATATAGCAGCAACAACAACATAGGACAAGTCCTTATGAGATAATCATCTTCAGTTCTTCATCTAGTTCTTTAGGTCACTTTAAACTTCTTGTGCCTACTGCTACATTGCTCAGAAGTAAAGCAACTTCTGCAGATTAGACATGTTGTTATATTGGGGGGGGGGGAGCCTGAACACACATCTATAAAGGACCTTCACTTTTGGCAACTGATGACTAAAACCTGAAAGTGTTGCTTGAACAAATACCTCAATTTCACAGGGAACATGATCTTATTAGAGAAGATTCACTTGACAATTCAGAATGATATGAATTAGTATTCTTTTCTGTTTAAAGTTCTTTTTTTACATTTTAAAATTTAATGAACAATTACAGTTATCTAGTGAAAACCCTCAGCTCTATAACAATTTTACAATCAGAGCAATGAAAAACAACTTAAAATACTTTATACCAAACTCGTCAAAAGTTAAAATGTAATATACCAGTATTTCCTGCCTCTTTGACACATCAGAAGAGTGATACTTTTACAAGGATAAGACACAGAAGGGTGGATACACTTGCATCTCTAAGAAGCCCAATATCAAATAGGCAACAAGTGAAAATGTGCACCTCTTTGGCACAAAAAACAGATCTTTGTATTTTCTAGAAGTTTTAAACTTCATTATAATAGCCAGATAAGGGAGGAAGAAGGGAACTCTTAACAAAATACTGTACAAAGCTTTAAAGACTGACTCTCAAGAAATTTAGCCAAATTTTGGCACTACATAGCCTTTTGAAAACAGTGAAGGGGATATCAAAAAGCTAACAAGTCATCTCTGGCCTGCCTATAACCCTGACATTGTGGCATTTATGCTGCAACCATCTCTGCTGTTCTTATGCCTATAGTTTATGCTTTTTCTGTACGTTTATGCTTTTATTATATTACTATTCCTGGTTGCCCTGAAAATACTTCAGTAGGCAAGGAAAAGGTAATAATCAAGCCAATTAGCTGCAATATATGTAGATATCATTTCTTCCATTTTGTTAATTCTCCAGAGAATGGGAACCATGTCAGCAACAATGCAAACAACTTCTCAAGTTCTGGAAGATTTGAAAACTCAGATCCTGACAAATGACTGGGCTCTTGCAGGACTGGTGGTGATTGCTTCATTCTTCGCAGTCATCATTACCCTCACCTTATTTGCTTTGATCTTCGGCTGTTGCTCGACTCCAAGGAATAAATCAGGGCCCATATAAGTAGCAAGAGCAATGTGACCTGTGGAATTTCAAGAGTGCTACAGAATGAAGCAAGGAGGAGTATTATTGCTTCTTTTCACCCTCATTGCACATGTACAAGAGAATAATGACTGTGGAAATTGGTGCTGCTATGGAAATTTACAAAGACACACAACCTTTGACGTAACCTGAAATCTGCATTAAAGAATCACGCTGTTGCCAAGTTGTTAATTCAAGGCTAGCTTTAAAAAAAACAACAAACACAATTGTAACCTGACTAATAAACTGCTATTTTTAAATCATTGTTAAAGAATCAAAAAGCAAAAGATCAGCAAATCACATTTCAAGCATTACAAATGATAAATGGCAACATCATTCACATTATCTCTCATTTTCCAAATGTCTCTAAAGTTATATCCACCTTGCGAGCTGTTTGTATTTAATGCAAAAAGACTGAGATATCTCGATGCATGGTAAGAACCGATCACATTTTGGTTGCTTTCAAATCAAAATCACTTCCAGTTGATGGGAACACTCATGGGGTTAAAACAGAAACAACAACACCTCAAAACTGGCCTGAAAAAATTAATGATCCCCCTTAAAAACATAATTAGCAATTTTAAAGCCAAAAATTGGGGGTGAGCTGGAAATCACACTTGCACATGTCCCCCTTAAAAATGCCAGGCCGCAGTACACTCCCCCAAACCCTGAGAGCTGTCTACCCTTGCACTAGACCAGAAGAATGGACGGCACGGGCAGTTGTTATGAAAACCATCTACCAGTCTCACTGGAAACTACAACTGTGCCACGTAGTACAGGACTGTGGCTTTCATTGTTACAAATTAGAAGCAGGTTTAAAAACAGAAGTGACCCTTTCTTCCAACCACTCCTCAATTATTCAATACTTAGCCCAGCCCTCAGTAAAACAGGTAAAGTTACTTCAGAAAAGCCTATCCAATTTGTATAACAATTCATATGCAATATTACCTAATGTTGAAGAGCACTATTTCAACACGGTGTCTTCTACTTAAGACACTGAGAATGTATGAAAGCTATCATGCATTTTCATCTTTGCCATGCCATATGGCTATCTGGTGTTAGATTATGGGCTTATTCACATTCACCCAGAGACAGCAATATGCATCACTATAAATGAGGGCTCAAGGACTTCAACATAGCAATTTGTTTTAAATGCAGTATGTTCAGTTTAGTATAGGTTATAATTTGTACTCTAGGTACCTCTAATTACAGCCCCACTGTTCAATTTCTGCACATTGCATCTGTTTCTCCAAAGGGCTCAGTATTTCTAGCTTCTATGTGAAAGCATCAATCAATGGACTGCAGTAGGAAAGAGGTTTTTGGTGAAGGAATATTCAACTTATATTTTTTATCAAGCAGTTCTGCTTCATATTATCCTTCTTTCTTTAAAGGACGAAGCTGAAATCAGTGAGTTTTCAAAAAAATAAATAAATAGCAATTTACCAAGCAGATGCCACATGAAGCTGAAATCAGTGAGTTTTCAAAAAAAAGCAATTTACCAAGCAGATGCCACACCAGGCCTCCTGCAAAAAAGCAGCAAAAGCAATACAACCAATGTATGCTGCCATTACACATTTATTCCCAATATCAAATAATCACCTTACATGAAAGATTGTCCGTATTAGAGAAAACAAAGCTCCCAAAATATCAACTCTGAAGAAATAAAGATCTATTTATGCAATCCCTCTTGAACAAAAATACCTACCCCAGCTCTCCAGAGAAGGCCACCATTGCATCAAAGTCTCTTAGCATAGCTTTATCAGATTCTTTCAAGGTGCCTCGTTTCTCCTGAGGAAAGGCAACAATGAATAAGCAAACTATCCATAACTACTGATTCAGAAGCAACTATTTTCTTTATAAGCATGTAACCTAATCGCTAGCTACATAATGGCATTCCAACCAGACAAATATTAAATTCCTCTCCAGCTCCCTGAAACTAAGTAGTATGTAAAGCTACAATGCTGCAAATGTATCTCTACTCCATGTAGTACAACACTGACAAAATTTTCTGACTTCATGCTTCCCATTGCCCTCAAAACATTTCCAGCAATCTTCATAACAGGCAGCCTTACAATCAGCTCCTCCTAGATGACAGTGGCACAATCTGAAGGCTGTATATTTTCCACTTAATGGCTGAAATCCAGCAGTAGGTCATAACTAGAGTGGCCCATGGAATCAATGGAACTTACAGAGGAATTGATTCACCAAATTCCTGCAAATTACTACTTGATTTCAATCTAAGATATGATAATTTGGCTACAAGAAAGAAAAATGTAAAGAAAAGAAAAGAACTACACTGAACAATGCTACACAAGGGTCTTACCTGGAGCTTAGCCATTTCTTTCTTGATAAGGAAGGTGAGTTGATCCCTGTCACTCCGAGAATAATACAGGCGACAGTTGGATGGCTTCCCATCTCTTCCAGCCCTTCCAGATTCTTGATAATATCCGGCCATAGATTTGGGAATATTCCAGTGTGCAACAAATCTATGTGTTAGAAAAAGTACATTTTTTCTAACACATAAAAAACAAAAACACATACCAACCTAAGGCCAATTTAAGCATAACATCACACTGTAACAAGCTCCCCAAACTTTTCCTGGAGTTCATTCAAGCTGCAGACTTGGAGCCACCATAAAACAGTGCCTTCAAGTCCCGTTCAAGAGACAAGACCCAGAATGATACTGTGGTTGACTGTATCAAAAGCTGCTAGAGATCTAGCAGAACTAATAGGAACACACTTCCCCAGTTCAGTTCCCGGCATTGATCATCCACCAAGGTGACCAAAGCAGTGTCCGTCTCATAACCAGGCCTGGAGCCAGACAGAAATGGATCTAGATGATCCATCTCATCCAGGAACTCCTAGAGCTGAGAAGTTAATATCTGTTCTAGTACCTTGCTCAAGAATGGAACATTAGAGACTGACCAGTGATGATCCAATGATGTGGGATCCAAGGAGGGCTTTTTCAGAAATGGTCTTACTACTGCCTCCCTTTAAGCATGCTGGGATCCTACTCTGCTGAAAGGAGGCATTCGCCTTTCCATTTACCCACTCAGCCATCCGCCTCTGACTGCTTTTTAAGACAGGAAAAGTCTAGCACACATGTGGTGGCTTTCACTTCCTCAAGAATCCTGTCCACATCCCTCAGGCTGCACCAATTGAAATGTACCTATTACAACAAGACAAGCAGGGGTCAAAGTTACATCCACAGGACTTGTATCAACTACAGCCTCTATGTCAGAGTGAATCTGTGTAACTTTGCTCGCATATTGTCCTGCAAATTCCACACAGTGGGCTACTAGAGGAAACAAAAAATAGAATGCTTATCAGTAAATAAGGAGCCTCGTGGTGCAGTGTTTAAAACTGCTTTACTGCAGCCAAAACTGCGCTTATGACCTGGGGTTCACAGCCTCTATGTCAGAGTGAATCTGTGTAATTTTGCTCGCATATTGTCCTGCAAATCCCACACAGTGGGCTGCTAGAGGAAACAAAAAAACAGAATGCTTATCAGTAAATAAGGAGCCTTGTGGTGCAGTGTTTAAACTGCTTTACTGCAGCCAAAACTGTGCTTATGACCTGGGGTTCAAGTCCAGGTAGCCAGCTCAAGGTTGACTCAGCCTTCTATCCTTCTGAGGTTAGTGAAATGAGTACCCAGCTTGTTGGTTGACTCAGCCTTCTATCCTTCAGAGGTTAGCTCGTTGGGGGGCAGGCAGGCAATGTGTAGCCTGCATAATTAAGTTGTAAACTGCCCAGAGAGTGTATTATGGGGTGGTATATAAAGTAGCACACTTTGCTTTTGCTTTGCTTTAAACACACTATATTTACATATATGTTAGGCACGACACTGTGCACACACACCTGACGTTCGCTTTGTCAACACCCATTCCAAAACTAATAGTAGCAACAATAATTGGAACTTTTTCTTCCATCCATTCATTCTGAACTACTGTCCTTTCTCCTACTTTCAGACCTGAAGAAAAACAAAAGACAACAGTGTAACATCAAAAGGAAGTGCTTCTGCTTATACCTCCACATATATGTCTGACTCACTCACTGATATTATAGCCTCTGGGTTTGTACATATACTAGTGTGTGCCTAGTCTATATCACTGTCATTCACAAAACCAAAAGAAGACTCCCAGACTGTAGGGCGTCCTTCAATGTAGGCTCTACACAAAAGCAAGTACCCTAAAATAATCAGGCTTCTTGCTCATGTGTAGAATCATCACACACCATTCTCTTCAGATCCACCAGTGTTCACATGAGCAATGTGACAATGGAGCAGGTGTCTTCATAGCATGTACAGAGATCTCCATGTGTTCATACTTAAAGAGGGCGCTAACCAGCTGGTTTCAAATTCACTGCCCACCAACTTCTCCTATACTGCTTTGCCAGTGTGCAAGAAACAGGAAATTTGAGGACTGAAAGGGATCAAAGAATGGAATAATCTCTCAAATACTTACTTCTAGGACCATATCTGTTTAAAACCCCTTTATAGAAGGGAATAGAAATGAGCAGTATCAGTCACCACATCTGCCACACAACAAATTCTCTGAACTGGCTGGAACATATGTCAAAACTAGTCAGCTGGTCTGTTGTATAAGGGAACTGAACCCCCTGCATGTGATGCTCTGGCTGCCACACAACAAATTCTCTGAACTGGCTAGAACATATGTCAAAACTAGTCAACAGAGCTGGTCTGTTGTATAAGGGAATTGAACCCCCTGCATGTGATGCTCTCAGATTTGGGTCTGGAGCAGGAGTTGAAGAACTTCATATTTGGTTTCCCAGTGTGGTGGCCATGACACCAATCTGGCTTTTGCACTGAGTCTCTTTGAAAAGAGGAGAGAAGCAATTAAGAAACCAAGTATGAGAAACTTCAGAAACTGCTCAGAGACAAAAGGGATGTTCCTTAAGCAGACAGCCAGTTCTGCTTCTCTGCCTTTTTTGGTGTCACCTGAAGAGCTGATATACTCTCAGCCTACCAGCTGTATATTGTGTAACTGACAATTCTAGGTAGCATTTCAGGACATGAGCAAATTAGAGCAAGTGCTAATCAGAAATGACGGTGCTACTCTACATGGATTAATGATCTGACAGTATAAATAGCCTCATATATTCAGACATACTCATCCAGACACACAGCCATCATCCCATGGGCATCTGTAGTTCTAGAAGGGCTCTAGTCAGCAAACTTGAGAGCAAGTGCTAATCAGAAATGACGGTGCTACTCTACATGGATTAATGATCTGACAGTATAAACAGCCTCATCTATTCAAACATACTCATCCAGACACATAGCCATCATCCCATGGACATCTAGAAGGGCTCTAGTCAGCAAACTTAGTGGGCTGCAGAATTTGTGTTCTGGTGTAATGCATCAGAACACTTCCTAGACCAGTAAAATCAGTGAAAACTAAGCAACTCTTCTGTATAGTGAATAAGGTTTAATATTCCAATTCAAAACAACACAGCTTTCATTACCAGCATGGTATGCTTTGGCTTTCAATCCTCTGTGGTTCAGCTCAATAGCCACCTGCTCACAGACCTCTCTCATCCTGCAGTAGACGATTCCACAACCTGTGTAACCCTGCAAAGGAGGTGAAGAGTGTAAATTAAAATGCAATTAGAAAACCCAAAGGCATTAAGTGGTTCTATAAATCTATTCTACAAAAAAGAAGAAAAAGAGTAATGCTAATAGAGCTAAAGCCTTACGACTTTCATCACATTTCCTGCTCCACAACTTCTACCCTATATTGCTTCCTGAAATAAGCTTTCAGGATAGATGGAGAAACTGCATGAGTGGGAGTCCCCCATTCCCACTAGTGGAAATACTGTACACTGTTTCATATGCATGCAATATAGTCAGCACTGTATATACATGTCCATGAACCTGATCGTAAGAAACATGTAATCTGGTGTAGCTATCTGAGCAAGCTCTCCCTCCTGCAACAGAGAAGAGCTCTCCATCCCAGCAGTGAGAGATCAGGCTCCTCTCAGCCTGCCAAACACCTATTTCACGGGCTGGAAAGAACAGAACCTGATAGTAAGAAACATGTAACCTGGTGTAGCTATCTGAGCAAGCTCTCCCTCCTGCAACAGAGAAGAGCTCTCCATCCAGCAGTGAGAGATCAGGCTCCTCTCAGCCTGCCAAACACCTATTTCATGGGCTAGAAAGAACATGCTCTACATGATACTCCCCACATACCTTCTGGGCCATCACTAGTGAACAAGAAATTCGAGCACCCATCCAAGCTCATGGAAGACCTGTAAGGGCTGCATGTGAGTCACAGATTGTCCCTTTGTAACCTCCAGAATTGTCAACAATTCTTGTCTCAACTTTGCAGAGAAGAAATTTCTGGAGATAATGAACTAGATTCACTACCACCAGTCTCCAGTTGCTTGATAGACAAAACTTTAGTTTTCCTCAAAATTACTGGGAAATCCTCTGCAGTAGACAGGCTAAATTATTTTTTTTCTGAGGCATTGCTCTATCACCTGGGGAAAACTCTCCTTCCTCCCTATCAGAAGAAAGTGGGGGGACATATATGCCAGCCTCTAGACCAGCATTTCACAAGCCATGTACAGCTAATATACTCACTTTCACAACATAGCAAAAAAGGATGTGAAGCATGATCCATTCCAGTGGGAAAGACAGAATATAGCAATATAGTGTCAAGAGTTGCTGACAGAATATAAACCCTGGCCACCGGAAGCTCTTCTGTGCCTCTTTTTTTTTTACTGTAGATGTTCACATTTTAAAAAATCATTTCTTAAACACTAAGCTTTGGGGGGAAAGTAAGATTAAATCAATTCACTCCCTGCCTTTCTCCATACAAGCAGGAAGAGGTTTTGAAAGCCAGGATCATTAGCATTGAAGGCATCTCAGTCTGTAGGATATCTATTCTGACTTGCTGAGAATGGGGGGACAGGGAGGGGTAAGCATGTATCTGATTATCCCTGGGTGAAGAGAAATGGGGCACATGTGTGCAGATGCTAAGTCCCTTGATCCACTGTTCATCAATGGCTCATGGGAGCAAAGAGATTGCCCATTACTGCTGGACCTGAAAAGATGAGGGACCGACTACAGTAAACAGAACAATCACCGTGGTGAAAAAGGCAAGTGAAAAAGTGAACTTTTGATCAGAAGCCTGACTGACGACTTGGAAGAAATCTGCCTTTATTTACTGACTATTATTATATTTGACTTTCATTTCAACATTCAAGGTGACATAGGTCACAGTCACATATATCAAGAAGCAGAATTCCACTTTGCAAGCTTTATCATCCTGCATGTAGCCCATTAATTCCCAATTAGCTGCTTCTACCGGTGCCTAAACTAATTCGGAATTCAAATTTTATTATGCAAGCTGGGGCTTCTCACTTGCTCTGCCTACTATAACTCAGAATCACAAATCTGGCTCTGTTCTTGATTTGTGATTTTTGGCTTCTTTGACAACAACAAACCTGGAGCCCAAATTCTGCTGATATGGTAAGTTTTGAATTCCTTACTAGTTTACCTGTTCCTCCTGGCAGAAACAGCCAAGCAGGAGTAGCATGTGGGATGCAGGTAAGGATTCCCCACAATTCTGGCTTAAAGTTGTGAGCAAATGTAACCTACAGTGGAGTCTCGACTTATGGTCGGCTCCAGTTACGTACTTTTCAACCTACAGACTTCTCCGGCCACAAAGTTTAACTTTGACTTGCGGCCGGAGAATCAACCTACGGACCAGAAGGGGGAGGCGGGGAAAGTGCCAAATTTGAATTTGGCACTATCCCTGCCTCCCCCTTCCAGCCCATAGGCCGTGCCTCCGGATGCCT